TATGGGGATGGGTCATCTCAGTGTGCTTGAAACCATTCTGCTCCTACGTGGGGCTGCTGAAATCTCTGTTCTCCATGGCGAGAGTTGGCTTCCCATCTCCCTGCCTGAGCTTCCTCCTGTCCATCTCCCTCAGAATTGAGTATGAAAACCTTTGCCCACACAGGCATTGTTAGCCATTTATTTTGCTATCAGTGATGTTCTGATGACACAGTGCCATTATTTAAACACATTCCAGGAATAGGCTGGGATCACAGGAAAAGAATGAGGCTAAAAAAACGTTACTGGAGAATGGGAGATGGTCAGAAATGTAACATATAGTGGTAGGAACAGTGGCACTGTGATTTCGTACTGAATTTAGAGCAGTTTCACTGTAGCCAGTAGGGTCATAGCAGGGGAAAAAGTGTTAACCAAAGTTGGTGGTGCTAATATGTGATGTGTCCAAAAAATTATTTTTAGATTGATATTCACAGCCCTGGCATTTTGCCTTTGCCCTGAAAATTTGTACAAATATTAAAAAATTAATAAACAAGAAAATATCTTAAATATCCTCCAGTGTTTATGAAGTTTCAGCTGACCTTTGCAGTACACCCTAACTATGATAAAAAAAAACCTCAGCACTGATACATTTTTCTTTTCTCTTTTTTTTTTCCTTTCCTTTTTTTTTTTCTTCCCTCTTTCCCTCTTTCTATAGACAAAACTGACAGCGTAATGTGGGTCCTGTGATATGGCCAATGTGTTTTTTTTCTAAGGTGAAGTGTGGAGTTAGCTCTTTCTTATGCTACAGAATCCCAGTCTCCTTCCACAAAGTATCAGTGGGAAGAGAGGTTACTGCTAAGCATCATCTTTGACTTTGGATCTTCCTTGGGGTCTCATCTACAAGATTCAGCCAGTGCTTTCTACATAACATCTGTTCTCAAGTCAGAGGGTCTTGCTGTCCCCATTTTACAGATGGGATTCTGAGAGACAGGAGGAATAATGCCAAATGCTTCAAAGATATTTAGTGCATGTGAAGTGCCGAGTTTCCTTTGAAGGCCTAAACCCAAATGACAAGCTTGTGATCATGCAAAAGATTTGTATCGCCCATGAGAACAGAACAGTTTTTTCAGGGTGGTGTCATAACCACTCCACAACCCTTCCTCTTTCTTCTTCCTGAAGCTCCTACTGACTTCAAAAGTGAAGAATTATGGCCCACATCCCACAGCGCTGTGAGCTTGGAACGTGTGCAGAGCTTTACCCACACATATATTCCATCAGGGATGCTGACTCAAATGAAATTACACAGACCAGGGGGGACGAGTGGTTTTGGGTCTTGACTTTGTTCAGTTCTTGTGTCCTCTCACTTCAAAAACTTGACAAAGAAATGCAGAGTATACCTAAAGATACCAAGAGTGGCACCTAATGACTGGATTCAGAGTCCAGCTGTACTTAACTGTAGTAACCATAGAGCCAGGTAAATATGAATAGAAAAAAGGCAGAGTTACAGCTGATTCAATCAAACAAATTGTTCTTTCTTTTAAATACCTCTGCATGAAATATATTATTGAGTTTTCATGGGAAATATGGGTGTATGTACATTACATTAATTGGTTTCTCAAAAAAACAGCATTGTTCTCAAAAAACATCTTCTTGAGGAGACTGTACACAAAACCTGTTCTTATCTCTCTTAATGTGCATCCACTGGAAAGGAAGCAAAGCCCAGTTGATGTGTGATTGTTTGCTGACCCCATTACTGCTTTCTTAGTGAGCAGCAAAATAAGAAGCGAGGATTTTCAACACTCCCATCACGCATCCTGTGATGCATTTGAATACTAATAGCAATAGACAGCTACTATCACAGAGGTGGTCAGTGTGCTGCCCCTTGGCACAGCACGTTTCATCTCTCACTCAGTTTGAAATAACAAATGCCAATATTTTGGCATTGACAAATGACAATATTATAAATACAAAAATTATGTTTTACACTGAATCAAAACAAAAATATTTGATGAAATGGACTAAGAAAAAAACATCCCTTGGCGTGTTCTTTAGCCCATCCTTTCAATACAACAGCTTTTCTTTTTTCCCCCCTCCAAAAAAAAAAAAAAAAACAACCCATTTAATCCCAACTGTGGTTAACAGCTTCCTAATTGCATGCAACTGTTTCTTGACTTCCTGATCCCTGTCTGGTAGTTAGGAATCCAAAGGGTTTCTTAAATCAACAGGAGCAGCTGCCTCCTTGAAGCCACGCATGGTGTATGTCACCGACCATGGAAAGGAGCTGCGATACAGGGAGGAGCAGCGCTGATTAATGGGGCCAGTGTCGTAGCTCAGAGTGTGGTTGCACTACTGTGTACGGCTGTACTTACTTCCATCATTTATCTTCCAGCCTCTGCCACACACACACATGCAAACATACACACACGCTGTATTTTTTGCAAGTGATTGAGCAGTCATTAGAAACACAGGAATGCACAAGGTGCAGAGGGATCTGTAGCTGGTGATGTGCCTATAAGGGTAATGCCTCCTTTCATCTCGTTCTTTGGACAAGTATGAGAAACGCTGACAAAATCCAGTCCTTGGTCTGAAATTTATCTCTCTGTCCTTAGCAAACTCTTTCCCACAGAAGGAAAAGAGAGGGGAAAAAAAAAAAAAAAAAGAAAAAAAGGTGAGGAAATGGCTGCATTTTGTGCATTCTGTTTTAGGTTTGATAAAGGGGGGAAACAAATTGTAAATTGAGTGTGGATGTAGGTGCAGTGCATCACTGCAAGTGATGGAGCTGCGTGAGCCAAAGGAGGGTGCTTGGCTTCTTGGCAAAGACCCTTTTGGTCAAGGTCTGAACAAAATCCCTGTGCTTGGGCTCTAAACCTCCTGCAGTGCAATGGAGATGTCCCCTAAACGGGCTGCTCAAAGCCATTCTGTCCATGAGCACTGCTGCTCCTGCCTTGAGTAGGAGCAGGTTGTTCTCATAAGTTGTATGGTGCTTTCCCTGAAGCATTGCATGTGTTGTTATTCCTACCTCACTGCTTTATACCAGGAATGGATGCTCCTAAAACTTTCACTATTGCAGCCAGCAGTATTTTACCCCTCCAGTGCCAGCAGGCTGCTCCTGGTCCCTGGAAGACAAAAGCAGCTAAAGGCGGCTTCCTTGTTTAGTGACAGGAAACTGGTGTCTCCAGTAGGTCTGGCCTAATGGGGCTGTTATTATTAGCTGAGTGTTCACAAAGGGCTAAAATGAGAATAAGGCACAAAGCACTCTCTTGCTCTGATGACTCTGCAAGACACGTTGAAGAAGCCAAGCCAGCCTGGAAAGCCTGGTAGGAGGAGTGACTTAGGGAAATATACCCCAATCTTAAAGAGCAACATGCTGGGAGAAGTGTGGTGGCAAAACAGATTGCACTTGGAAAATCCACATGGACCATGCAGCCCAACAGGCTAGTGCAGTTATGGTGTGCTGTCATTATCTCTGCCCATATGGGAGCATCATGAGATGCTGTGCCTGTTTCTGGCTCACCCAGCAGGTACAGCCTTTGGTGCAAACCCACAGCAAGGCTTCAGTCTGTCCTTCTGAGTAGCTCATGGTGAGAAACCTCAGCTGCCCTGTGCTCCCAACACATCTGAGGCTGCAGTGGAAAAGCCTTAAGGAGAACCACTGGAAAGATAAAAGTGAGTTCTCTCGCTAAGACTTGCTGAAAACTTTTAGAGAGACAATATGAGTGAGGAATGTGGGAAGAGGCAGAAACTGCTGTGGTAAAATCATATAGTTAAGTGGGAGGGTAAGAGGTGAGCTGAAAAAAAGATGACTAAAAGCAAGTTTTAAGAAAATGAGTTCAGGAATCTGGTATAGTGGAAAATCAGAGGAAGAATTAAAGCAACAGCGCTGCTGCATCAAGTATTTCATCACGCTGCTTGAAGGATGTTCCCCTCATGGGCTGTGCGTGCAATACCATTACCGCTGACTGAGATTAATGCTGGAAATCCTGGCAGCTTTACTTTTACCTGGGGACTGGGAAATCTGAATTTGGGTTTTGCAGCTTAAGCAGCTTTCCAGTGGCAAGGCAGAGGAAATCACCCAAGGTGAGGGGTCCTGTGAGCAGTCATCAAGCACTGCCCACTGTAACACACTGCAGGCTCCTGCATCAAAACAGCTCACCTGTTCCAGTAATCAAAGACTTGTGGCATGGCTGCCCCTTACAGCTTTGGTCTTGGTTTTTTCATGGGCTTACTCCCCTTACTGCAAAAATCCTAACTATCCTTCGGGTTTTCACCATCCTTCTTTGTGCGTGAACATCACTCCTTCCAAAAAAAGGGACTGACGGAGCAGCAGGTATGGAATTCCCTTTTTCTGCCCCAAAATATCAGGAATATTTCAGGGATTTTATGTTGTGGAGTTCATGTTCTTCTCTAGTGAGATCTAAAGCTGAGAAAAAGGTAAGGAGTTTTATCCTGTTTACATCTTCCTGGTTTTGGATTTGCTGACCTTTCTTAGTTGTTTAACTGTTTGGATTGTTAAGAAGAATTGTATACAAGCCAAATCTTGCAGTCCTTACTCAAGGTCATGACCACCTTGGTTGAGAATGCATTGCAGGGCTTGTTCAGGCATGAATCAGCCAATAAACAAGATTGGACATGCAGAGAAGAGGTACTGGTAAATTGCTCAGGTGTAGCACCTAAAAACTCAGGTTACTTAAGGAACAGAGTAAAATCAAAATGCTCTGTTTAGTAAAAGTTGTAGTCTGCTGTACCCTTCCCAGCTACAGCCAGGTGCCAGTTACACTAAATAAAACATGTGTTGGCCAGGTTTTTGTTTGTTGGGTGATTTGTTTTTTTTTTTTGTAGAATTAAAGATTATAGAACAAGCTCACGTACTGTGGTGAGTTTTTTCAGTGATGCACAGGTGGTTTAAGTAAGACTGGATTACAACCTCCAACGTTTCTGAGATTACTGAACTGTTTACAGCTGTCCTTTTAATGAGCCCGTTAGAGCCAGGTGCCGCCAGCTGAGCCTCAGTCTCTCCATTGCAGGTCCCAAACTTCATCAACACTACACTCCCACCCCACGAGCAAGTAACAGCCCAGGAGATAGACAGCTACTTCAGGCAGGAGCTCATCTACAAGAGGAACGAGAGAATGGGCAAGAGAGTGATGGCGCTTTTGCGGGAGAACACAGATAAGAGCTTCTTCTTTGCCTTCGGAGCAGGTATGGTGTGAAGTGCTCTTTTATTTGGATGTTCTGGTTGGAAGTAAAATGATTTGAATGCTTTGAGATTCTCTTTCTGGTGTTGTAGGGAGCTTTTTCTAGGGGATTTATCCTTAAAGTAGGAAGGTTTTTGTCTGCGTAAACCTGCTGTGTAGGAAATGAATCTTGTTCAGACAGGTTGTGATTTGGTTGCTCCTGAGCTTTTCATTGGGTTGTCCTGGTAGAAACGTGAAGCTGTTAACATTTCTCACACCACTGCATTCATTCCCTTTCCCAACGAAACTCTTCATTTCTCATGTTATGTTTGTGTTGTGGTTGTGTTTGTGGCAGCGAGTATAGGATGTACTTGAAGGGTCTTTGAATTTGGAGGAGTGGGTGAGGCTATGGGAACACAAGTCTTGCCATGGTAAGGGACTTGTTTGTGGGTTGGGAATCCTGCCCTGGGGTTTCAGACCTTGGGACCTCTGTGTATTTTCTACACGGGTGACACTGCTGCCATGGTGGTGCATTTCTCTCAACTGGATGTCTCTGGACCTTGTGCAAGTGTGTGAGTTATACATGTAGCTAAATACCACTATTTCTAAATCATTAAGGAGCATCTGATGTGTCCTTCTGCATGTTCTAACTTTCTCCCTGTAGTCTGCAGAACAAAGATGTGAGTAGCACTTCTGTAACAGCATGTGCAGCTGTCCTTTCTCTGTTAATTATTTTACCTCTGTAACAAAGTTAATGTTTCTGTGGTATAAGAGCATAAACAATAACTGCTCAGGCCCCTTTTCAGCAGAATGCTAAGGAGCAGCTTTAGTGGTTTTACAGGCTGCCCCGACTTCAAGGCAATTTGAGATTTCTGTGCTGAGAACTGATCTGTCTTCCTTCTTTTGCTAACCATTTCTCATCTTTGACAGAACTTTGCTTCTTGTCCCATGGCTCTCACTATGAAGTTTGGCAATGACTTGCCTTTCACTACGCACTTTGGTGGGAATTTTGATTAAAGGCTGCAGGATTTAATACAGATAGATGCATCTTTATGTATTTATTCTTTGAGCGTATCCAGACTGCATTTTCCCAAGTCTATTTTATCTCAGGCTTTCCTCATACTTGGTTTGAGGAGTTTTGCTCAATTTTATTTTACTTTTTACAGTAGAAGAATACATCACTGTGGCTCATAGTTGGATAGGGATTAATTTAAAAAAAAAAAAAAAAAAGTTGTCTAATTCATGGAGCTAGGATTATCAGAGATTACAGAATGGCTCTAATAAAATTCCCAGTTCAGGAAGCCCCTAGCAGGAAGTTACTGAAGCCTGGGGGATAGATGGCACTGTTGCCTTCTTACCTTCCTCTGTGCCTACATCTGCTGCAGACTTTCTTCATACCAGCAGGATCTTAGAGTGGAAAGATTCTAACCCCTGCAGCTATTTGTGTGTACTGGTAACAGAAATGCAATTAAATGGGTACTCACTGTAGATGGCTCTCCTTAGAAAGCTATTGCTATGGATGGGTGGTTTGGGCTTTCACCCCCTCACCTGTAGCTGAGTGCATCTACTCAGGGCACCTGAGCAGCTTCAGGTGTGAAAGCTGCTTTGTAAAAATCAAGACCCATTTCTTCTTTTGCTGCCCATTTTTGGCTTTGTTGTGGAAGCCTTTGTCACTGGACGGTTCCTTTCTGCCAGCTCTGACTCTAACAGGACAGGGCAGATGCATGCCGCAGGATTTACTGAAAACCAGAGCAGGATTGATGCTGAGGAAAGCTTTTTGTTTTGGGTGCTTTGTTCTAGCATCCCTTTGGTCTTCCTTGCTGAAGCCCTCCATCCCTGCAGGCCATTCTCACACAATTAATTCCTTCTTTCTTCTCTGGGTTATTATTATTATTTTTTCCTTTATACAGCAAGAACTGAGAGTACTGCTGCATCGTGGGCAGTGTGGCCATCATGGCCATCAACAGCCTGGCCATCATGCAGGGCCTCGGGTTGAGGGAGCAGTGGGTGGGGGACGGGAGCATGTTGGAACATCCAAGTGAGTTGAGATCAGACCAATTTTTAGAAACACAAAGAGAAATGGACCGGTTTTATTTTGTTGAAAAGTTTTTTTGTTCCATTCAGAAATACTAAAACAGAAGTCTTAATTCTAAATTAAGCTTTTTCAGGATTTTTTTTTTTTTTTTTTTTTAAATAAGCAATAGACCTCAACAGATTCCCACTCCTACCTTCCTGTGGCATTACTCACACGTTAAATTCATTGGAACTGCTCAAACTTCCAATGTATTTCTTTATAAAACACATAAATGAAAATGGCCATTTATTCTTTCAATTTTCATTTCTTCATCCCCTCCAAGAAAAATATAGGATTTGGGTAAAATGGGGCACAACTCTAGCTCCTTCCTATACACTTCATTCTTTTCCTGCCAGGGCTTACCGTATTCAGGCTTAATGTGGAAATCTTGCCATGCTTGTATTCACACTAACTATACTCTAGCAGAGAAACCCCATTTATTGTTGGTGTGGTTAAATGATATTTTTCAGGTAACAGCCCTGTTAATCTTTCTCTCTGAAAGAATAGAAGCAGTTAAATAGAGTACTGGAATAAAACAAAAGATTTTGTTCTTGTTCTTTGTTTTGAAAATCCATCATGTACTGTTAGGTGTTATTGATCCATAGTAACAGTGAAGAGCTTCAGCTCTGACATATCCATGTGATTAATAAAGGCCCATTTACAGTCAAGAAACAGAGATGTAGCCAAGAGCACACGGGCTGTTAAAAAGAGTTAATATTTTGGCAACTAAGACTATACACATGAAGTCAATGTTTAAGAAAAAAATCACTCTGGTTTATTTCATTTTTATGGGCAAATAATTTTCAAGTAACACATATGATAACAGATGGATAAATTTATGTCTGCAGTTAATTTGAAGGATAATTTCCTTAGGATGTTTTACTTAGTTGCATTTCTTTCTTTCTTTTATGAGAGCTGTCAGTTTAGTTACTCAGGGCTGGATTTACTGCTTCAGAAATTCAGATGCTGCTTCAGTTCAAGCCTATTAGCAGCCAAGTCGGTAGGCTTTAGAATGGTTTTTCTGGTTAATTAAAATTTAAAAGAAAAGTTATTTTTTTCTGTGCTGAAACATAAGCACCATAGTGTCTCTCGCAACAGGATGCGAATGGAGCCATCTACGGGGCTCAGTGCTACAGTGGAGGGAAGGATGCATTCTTCCAGCTGTGGGCAGCCCCTCAATCTGCAGTGCAGTGAAACAACATGGCCATGTGGGTGACCACGGCTCCCAGTGAAGTCAGTGTGTTTTGCCAGGGCTCACCACCTGATACAGCTGGGCCTCTGTAGTTCAGCTGTAGGCATAGGTGGCTGAGATTAGGTTGAAATTCCTGGGATGCTCTGTTGTAGAAGTCTGCATGCTGCCATTAAAACAGAATAATCCTGCTGGGCAGGGTCTGATTCTCTTTTTGTTCCTACTGCAGGATGATTTTTATTTCTCTGTTCAGAAAGGGTGCATTTCTTCCCTGTTCTCTGACTGAGATTTTTCTCAGTCAGCATCATCAGTAATGACTCAGGTTGTCCTAAACTAAACTGTTAATAATAATGCTACTTTGCAGAAGGCTTTGGAAACTCTCCGGTCAGAATGTTAAATGGTATCTGGGACTTGGAAGTGATTTGCAAGCGCTGTGGCTGTGTTTTCACATGCTGGTAAATGCCAATTCTTTCTAAAGGGTGTGATAGCACAGAGAGAATACAAAACCTGTTCGTAGTCCTCTGCTCCAGCTTTCTCAGAGAGGATTTCCAATGGGAATTTCATCACATCTCATTGTGGTTATAGAAGACAACAAAGGCAGAAACACTCACCCATCACCTTCTATAGTTGAGAGTGACAGATATCTCCAAGGTGGCTGAGGTCATATTTGGTCTGATTCACCACTGAAATGTGCTTAATTTTCTCCATAAACTGTAGAGAATCTGTGAAGACAGCTACTGGTGATGTAACTGTCTTGAATGTTTACCTATTTGTTTATTTATTTATTTAAATAAAGATGGAGGCCATAACTGAAATGGAAGATGGCTGTTGAATTTGGATGGGAGGAAAGATGGCAGGAGGTGGGAGCCTTTGTTACTGGAAACCATAGTTGCCTTCAGTAGTTTGGGAAGGGAAACAAAGCCATAGATACTACACACAGCTTGAACACGAACCACTGAGAGGGCCTTTGTGAAAGCTATTAGCACCTGCCACGAGATCTGGCATCCAGGTTCACATATGATACTTGAAAGTGTTTTTTCAGAGAGGAAATGCCTTGAGGCTGACATCCAGCTGCATGCTGAGGACTGGGGATTTACAGATGTTGAATATGCAAATGGCTGTTTTGCACTCCCCGCTGGTGCAGTATTGTGTACAGACTGGGCTCAAAGTTACACCCACTGTTTTGCCATTTGGGAATGAACAGCCTCACATCGGAAGTACGGTCCTCCTACTTCCACAAGTTATGCAGCTCTTTGCCATTTCTATTCTTCCTCTTGGATCCTCAGCAGAATGGAGGAGGAGGGAGGGGAAAAAAAAAAAAATAATAGCACACTTGTGGGCTGGGATATAAAGAGACTTTCTCCCCAGGGTGAGACATCCTGGTCCAGCACTGATTAGTGGTGCTGCTGACATCACTGATGCAGTTCTCCGGTTGTCTCAGCAGACCAAGAAGTTGGCGACCGGGAGATTGAATTTGGCAAGCCTACAAAAAAAGAAGAAAAGGGTGAATTAACGGTTTGCAGATGCTAGAATTCCCTCCACTTGTGTTTATTTGGGCATCCAGATACCTATGGTGATGTTGGTCTGTTTTTTGTGTATGGACTTCTATAGATTTCAAGGTAAAGAATCGCTTTGCTTTTAAGAATATTCTCGCATGCTAACTTTGACCAAACCCATGTAATTGAATTTTTTGAAAGTCTGCATTGAACAGGCAGGGTCTGATTCTCTTTTCAGACACTCGGTTGTAAATCAGGAGTTGCTC